CCACTTCATTAAGCTGAAGTGGTCTGGGTGCCTATAGTGGTCCTTTAATCATTTATTTCAACAAACATTAATATGTTATTATGAAAGATAGATGGCAGAACAATTCAGGGAAAGAGGCAGAAAGATCCCCTATTGATGCTGCACGAGATGGGTAGGAATACAGTGAAGACACTAGAGAGAAGGAGGAAAGAAAAGAGGGGAAAGGGTGAGAAAAAGAAGCAGAATGGAGATGTGGGATGAACTTCTTGGGTGCTGGGCGGGGGAGGGGTTGGCAAATTGGGTTTTTGCCCAGGATAGTAAAAATCTATTGACAAGCACTGGAGAAAAAGAGAGGTATTTCTGAGGGCAAACTGGTGTTTTGATAAACCCACCACTAACTCTCTAGCAGTCCGTTCACAGCTGATCGTGCATGTAGTCTAAATAATGTATGGATCTCTCGGATAAAACTTTGCTATGGCAACATTCTAGATGCAATGGAGATGAGCTTTCAAACAATGATGCCATGACATAAAATGGATGGGATGTGCTGAAATCAAAGAAGAAGGAGGGTCTGAAACATGCTGTGTAACACTTTTTATTTATATGCTGTTAGTAACTATGCTGTAGGTACTTTATACATTGATGATTAAAAGCAACTTTTCTGCAATCATGGTAGCTTATTTCTATATTGATTGCAACTATGCTGTGAACAGGATATTGCTAAGACGTACTATTTTTTATAAAATTCATCCAATGTTTAGGTAATTCAGAGAAGGCGATCATTCCTTCTTAGAGCAGCTATGCTAAATATTAGATATGTGCATTTCGTTTATTTCCAAATGTTCATTCGGTGGCACAACCTTCTAGAACAGTTAAAGCATTTCTAGATAGTGCTTAGATTTCCCCCAATGAGAAGGGTGCTCCCAGTGCAAGGATTGCCACCACAACCACTTACACATCTATAGGACTCCCAGTGCCCAAACTACCACCACAACCACTTAAACATCTAGTCTATAGGGTTTCCAGTGCCAGGACTGCCATCACAACCACTTATACATCTGTAGGGCTCCCAGTGCCCGGATTGCCACCACAACAGCTTACACATCTATAGGGCTCCCAGTGCCCTATACTGACTGCCACCAGAACCAATTAGTAGACATGTGAAATTCATTTCATGCAATTCGGACATTTGGATGCTTACAAATGTCCGAATTTTCAAAGTTCGGTAGTTCGGAAGTGCGAACCGAACGCCATTGGTCCAAATTGCCGAAACACATTTTTTTACTTACCCAAATTTCTAAATCAAATTTTTGGGCCATGCACATCCCTACTGAATATAATTAAGCTGATCTATACATAGATTGCAACTACACTTTTGGGTTTAGGGTGATTAACAATATTATAAGACTAGCTGCATTAATACTGTCTCAGTCACAGGGCCGTCTTTAATATTGACCGGACCCTGGGCAACCATTTGCTTGGTGCCCCTGGACCCTGCCAGACATACTAACACACATACACAGAGACATACAGTGACAGACATACTATCACACACGCAGACACATATACTGACAGACATACTGACACACATACACAGAGACATACACTGACAGACATACTGACACACTTACACACACATACACAGACAGACATACTGACACACAAGCAGACATACACTGATAGACATACTGACACACACACAATGACAGACACACAGACATAAACATACACTGACACATACACTGGCAGACATCCTGACATAAATTTACACATTTAAACCCACCCTCTAGTTTCCTACCTTGGAGGGTGGTTTCCCCAGTGTCCATACTGGAGGTTGAGGCTGTTGGGAGTTGGGATCTGCCTCTGCCGGTACAGCCCCCCTCCTTCGTCTCCCACGCGACTCCTCTCCTTAGTGGGAGGAAGTGATGCGCGGCCATCACTTCCTCCCAGCACTGCCAAAAAGCAAAGGGCCCGGTCGCGCTGTTAAAGAGCTACAGTGTGTGAACGGAACCCTGCTTCCAAATACCCACCCGGAGGTCTCCTTAATGTGCAGGACTTTTGCCCCGTGTTAAAGACAGCCCTGCTCATTCAGAAACTATGAAAGGTAACAAAGTTATACCACCACTACCACCAAGACACAAGTTCTGGAATCTAGAGGTCTGTTTCCTTAATCCACTTGGTGTACCCTCTGCTAAAAGAGGTCCTGGAGGTCACTGGAAAAAAATCAAGGGAATTTTTAAATGAGCCATTCTATATTTTCACTGTTGTATAATAAGAGGGTAGAGTTATCATTTGATGATTTTATGTAAAGAGTATATCTGCCAGAGGTCCTGCTTTATACTTCTGCGTTATTCACTAAAGCAGTGGTTCCCAAACCAGTCCTCGTGGAACCCCTACCAGTCCAGGATTTAGGGATCACTCTGTTGTGTCCAAGGTGTTTTCTTTTTTTTCTAAAAACACCTTAGATAATCCCTGAATCCTGGACTGGTAGGGGTTCCACGAGGACTGGGTTGGGAACCACTGCACTAAAGTATGAATCGCTAGAAATGCTAAGTAATTGCAAAGTGAATTTCACACTTAAATAGCTGAAGTAGAAACATACTCCAAATTTCCATTCTATTTTGGCTCAAATTTGAGAATTATTCTGAATTTGTCAATATGAGAAATCATTTTATTTACTTTATTTTAATCCAAAGTGATGTGTTGTGTTTGTTACATTTCTCCATCTCCAAGAATTATATATGTGAAATGGTTCTTTAGGTGCAGAAAGCTTATTCAAAATAAATTCATGCATTTATCAAGCATTAAGACACGGTATTACACATCTGCTTATATTTGAATATTCTGGACATTTTATTATATAAAATATTTGTGCGTGTATAAACAAAGACTGCCGCTTAAACAAACATCTAACCTGGCTAAATGCTGCAAACCATAAGAAATGTCAGGGCGTGCTTTAGACTTGATTGATGGAAATGCTACATCTGTTGTATATATATTTATGTGGACACAGAAAATATTTGAAATAGATGTGATGTAAAATGTGTCTGTGTATAGGATCATTACAAACCTGTGTCATTTCAGTTGGAATGTTCGAAGAGGGAGTTGGAATGAGATAGAACTGAGCAAGACTTGGCATACCTGAAAACTGTATTTTCAAGTGCAGAATCTCTTTTTTTTTTTTTTTTTTTAAACCGTTTTCCAGCATTTATAATTTTCTCTCACTTATAGTTAGGCGATAAAAGTGATACATATACTGACCAGCCACAACATTCAAACCACCTGCCTAATATCGTTTGGTCCCCTTTGTGCTGTCAATATAGCTCTGATGTTTAAAGGCATGGACTCCACAAGACCTCTGAACGCGTCCTGTTGTATCTAGCACTAAGTCATTAGCAGCAGATTCTTTAAGTCCTTCAAGTTGCAATGGGGAGTTTTCATGGATCAGATTTTTTGTTCCAGCACATCTCACAGAGGCTGAAATTGGAGGACACCACCTTAAACTCTTTGTCATATTTCTCAGACTATTCCTAAACAATTTTTGCAGTGTGGCAGGGTGCATTATCCTGCTGAAGGAGGCCTCTGCCATCACAGAACACCATTGTCTTGAAGAGATGTATGTGGTCTGCAACAATCTCTAATTAGTTGGTAAGTGTCAAGGTTTCCCAGCAGAGCAGGACTTGCTTATTCTGGCCTACATTCTTCCCATAGTGTATCCTGCTGCCATCCCTTCCCAGGTACACGACGCACGCACACACAAACACAGAAAAAATGGGATTCATGAAACCAGGCAGTCTTCTTCCATTGCTCCATGGTCCTGTTCTGACTCTCTCATCCCCATTGAAGGTGCTTTCGGCAGTGGACTGAAATAATAATGGCCACTCTGACCAATCTGCTATGCAGCCCCACACCTAACAAATTGCTATGCACTATGTGTTCAGACACCTTTCGATCATGGCCAGCATTAAGTTTTTCAGCAATTTGAGCTACATTAGGTCTTCTGGGTGATTGGACCAGACGGGATAGCTCTGCTCCCCACATGAATTAATGAGCCTTGGGTACCCATGATCCTGATTTTATTAAGACACGGAGGCTCCTATTATGCTGCATTCTTTCTTTATTTACCTCAGCAGCAAAGAAAAATAACATTAAATCAGTATAAAAGAAACCAGTAAATAACATGAGGTATATCTTCCTAGCAACAGGAACAGCCAATCAGCATCCTCTTTATAGCATAATAGGCAGTGTCCAGTATACTACTTCCTCTTTCTTTGCTGCTACCTCAGTTAAGTGACACTGGGTCCCATGGTTCTTAACTGTGGGATCTTTTACTTTACTTTAGTCATATCATTACTGTGGTTATTATAGTTATTACATTTTAATTATAATATTTTCATGTTTATAAATATATTTAGTTACTTCATTTTAACTTAATTTGATTTATTTACTTCATTTGCGTCTGTTATATGCTTTATTGTATATTCTTTGATAATGTATTTCCCCTCTGACCTCCCTGGCCCCAAGATTACCATCAATTGGGGCTCAGGGGCGTCTTTGAGGATCTTTATCCCCTGAATAGTGCCATTGTGCTGTTTTTCCCCTTCATTTATCTGTGTGGCTGCTGCTCTGCCACCAACTGCCAGAAATCCAAGTTGGGGTTTAGTTGTATTGGCAGCCCGGCAGCTCCTTTGTTTTTATATTACAACTGCTATTTATTTATTTTTTACTTGAGGGTTACTCAACCCTTTACTTTTGGTATTAGTTTGCTTTATTCAGCCCCTTAGGTTTGTTTGTATATTTATTATGCAGTCTGACAGGATCTTTCTAGGTCTAAAGCAAACATGCATTTTAATGTAGAAGCCTCTCCAGGTATCTCTGGAGATGAGGCTGAATTTCTGCTTTACTGATCCTGCTGACATGCAAGCTTTAATTGACACTTCCATGGCAAAAGCAATGACAAGGCCCTGGTGTCAGGCCGCAAGGCCTCATATAAGGCTAAACACTCCTCCAAAACAATAGAGATGGACAGTACTGTACCTGTCATGGATGGCGCGATTAATTTACCACCGTGCAAAAGGGCTACCAGTCGGGCAAAATCGACTAGACTTTGGAAAAGGGCAAAAGCCCAATTGAACTCTGAATGCGAGTTCAGTGATATTGAGGAGAAGTTCCCCGAGTTCTATATGGAGGTGTACCTGTACTCACACCTGCTCTGCTTCAACCTGGCCGCAAGGCCTCATATAAGGCTAAACACTCCTCCAAAACAATAGAGATGGACAGTACCATACCTGTCACGGATGGCGCGACTAATTTACCACCGCGCAAAAGAGCTACTAGTCGGGCAAAATCGACTAGACTTTGAAAAAGGGCAAAAGCCCAATTGAATTTTAAATCTGAGCTCAGGGATATTGAGGAGGAGTTCCCTGAGTACTATATGGAAGTGTATCTGTACTCACACCTGCTCTGCTTCAGCCTGGCCGCAAGGCCTCATATAAGGCTAAACACTCCTCCAAAACAATAGAGATGGACAGTTCCATACCTGTCAAGGATGGCGCGATTAATTTACCACCGCGCAAAAGCGCTACTAGTCGGGCAAAATCGACTAGACTTTGGAAAAGGGCAAAAGCCCAACTGAACTCTGAATCTGAGCTCAGTGATATTGAGGAGGAGTTCCCTGAGTCCTATATGGAGGATTCAGAGGATATTTCTGATCCTGATTATGAAATTACTGATGAAGAGGCAGCTATTCCCGTTTGGGATATACGTCGTGTTAAACCTACCAAGATTTAGGTAGATTATGCGGACTCAGGGACACCAATAGGATCTTGGACACTCAATGTGAACCCCTATTCGAACCTGACGACCTATGTCACCCAGTGGTCTCCTCAGACCATGTAGCCAAGTATATTGCATCCAGAATACGCAAGCCTTTTGAGAAGGCAAAGTGAAATAAATTGCGGGCTGAATGGCCACGCCGAACAGTCCCTGATGACTCATGTAAAACGCTATCAGTCGATCCTAAGATCATTCAATTCCTGAATAAGACAGGATGGAAGCCATCTAAAGGCTTAGATTTTCATTGCAAAACGGTTAGGATAAAATCCTGGGCATCTTGGGCTCAGCAGCCAAGATCTTTGAAGCAGTGGAGGATGATCTAGAATTAGATTGCGCCATCTTAAGTGGTTAGATCCAGAGAGTGATTTAAGTTGGCAACGCCAATAATGCGGTTGTCACAGAACACCACAAATCGATCTTGCTCAAGATTGAGCCCAAACGTTTAACTATGGCTTTGAACGAGCCAGATAACACAGGAAAAAGGTTTTCTCTTTGGGGACAACTTTGTAAAATAATTGGGCACCTTTGTCCGGCTAAACAAACAGAAGTTCTTTTAGACAGAACCAAGGCTCCTATACGTGCCGAGCCGATTTCTTTGAACAATGCACTATACCAACCTCCTTCCCACAAAGTGGTCAACCCTGGATTGTTGGTGGTCATAAGACGTCTTCTCAATTTCCATTCTTTCTTACTGATAGTGGGGGGCAGGCTCACACATTTTTCCCCATGTATGATCCCTCATTACATCAGATGCTTAGGTTCTTCACACTGTGAAAGGGTATTGCATAGACTTCCTTTCTCTACCTGTTCAATGTTCCCCATCAAGGGAAATTGTTTTTTCTCAATGGGACGCAGACCTTGTCTCCCTGGACAATCAATTGTAGAGATTCCGGCCCATACCCTGTGTTACGTGAGCAACCTTTTCTTTTTTCCCAAAAAAGGCAAAGGTATACGTCCAGTGATAAATTTGAGACTGCTCAATAGTTATGAGCATATCAGCACTTCCAAGATGGAAGGAGAGCATTATTTAAGAGATCTTCTCCAACCACCAGATTAGATGGCCAAATTGGATCTGCAAGATGCATATCTCACAGTGTCTTCACCAAGCTCACATCTTATAATATATTTAGACGGCATTTTCATTCTGGCTCAGTCTATTCAATTAATCCGGACATACCTTGCATGGACTTTGACTCTGTTAGAGAGCCTAAGCTTCCTGATCAATTGGGAGAAATCCATTATCGTTCCCACGCAACAAATCACATTTCTGGGTTATATTGGATTATTTTAGATTCTACCCTTCAAACTCTACACCCTCCGGTGGCAAAATTAGGCAATATAAAGAAGGAGATAGGCGAACACTAGCAACCTCTCAACTCTCTCTCAAACAACTGTTGAGAATGATAGGCCTTCTAGCGGCATCTATACAGGCCATTTTTCCAGGTCTTCTTGGCTATCGAGCCCTACAACGATTACAAACTTCATCTCAAGGGCAGCACATCATACACAGATATGGTAACTCTGGACTCAGAAGCGGAGGATGAACTCCAATGGTGGCTTCTTCACATGGAAGCTTGGAATAAGCACACCATATTTTGTACAGTTCCAGATTTGATCATCAAATCCGACGCAAGTTTGCACGGTTGGGGTGCTCAATGCAGGACTATTTCCACCAAGGGCATTTAATCAAACCTGGAATTGACACTCCACATCAATTGTTTGGAACATCTGGCCGGTTCCTTTGCAGTACACAGTTTCTCCCCAACTCAAGCCCAATGCGCTATCCTTCTGAAGATGGACAACATGTCAGCAGTTCGCTACATCAATCACTTGGAGGCACAAAATACAAAATTCTGATCTACATGCCTCGTGATTGATGGCAATTTTGCCTGAGACATGGCATTTCAGTCACGGCAGAACATATTCAAGGTCTCTCCAACACTACGGCTGACTGGTATTCACGCCAACTCAGAGATTCCAGCGACTGGCACTTGGATTCCATGGTCTTCCAAGACATCTGGAACCTATGGGGTCTATTGGAAATAGATCTTTTCGCTTCTGGTTTGAATGCTCAACTTCCCCGTTTTTTCAGTTGGAGACCAGATCCGATAGCACTGGCTATGAATGTTTTCTCCAAGGAATTACGATTTTCTGCCCTTTGCACTGATTCCCTGTTGCCTTTCCATCTACATCGCCAGTCCGGCACCTGGTGATCGTGGCTCCTCTATCGCCGTCCCAACCATAGTTCTCTCCTCTTCAGGAGATGGTTATCACCTTCCATCTCTCGAGTGCCTTCTTCAGGATCCAGACGGTGTACCTCATCCCCTTGTTCTCCAAGGTCTCTTGCATCTCATAGCGTAGTCTATTTCAGGGAACCTTGGTCACTCAAGGGAGTTTCGCAATCAACTCCCCAACGTATCAAGGGTGCACCCAACACGAGACAGGCTTATAAATCTGCTTGGAGCAGATGGCATAGTTGGTGCATGAAATTAAATTTAAATCCCATATCGGCTCCTTTTATGTCTGTCCTCCATTTTTCTGACTTCTATGATGAAGGTAAAGCCTATCGCACTGTGGACCTTATCGATCATCCATTTCGGCTGGCCATCAAAATTTTGGACGCCTGTCGGTTGACATCCTGTCATATATTGACTTCTCTGAGGAATATGGTTTGCTCATCCACCCTTACCACGATACTCTGTCTTGTGGGACGTCTCTATTGTCTTGAATTTTTTTCTTGCAAGAGGTTTTTCTGACGTACGAGCTCTTGAGGTGGTTGCTCGTTCCTTTACTCCAGAAGGTGTCCTCTTTGACATTTCACGGAGGACAAAAACCTCATTAAAAATCAATTTTACCCAGTTTTCCCTGATAGATCTCTCCTTTGCCCTGTTGAATACTAATGGGTGTGTGAACATCGTTCTACTACGTTACGGAATCCTTTGAAACAGGAACTCTTCATCTCCTTCCAAAAGTTGCATCTTCCGGTGTCTACTCTAGCCTGGTGGGTCAAATACGTTATGTCTCTAGCAGGTATTGATACCTATGTGTCTGTGCCTCATTCGGTTCATGGGGCAAAGGATTCTAAGGCTTCCTTGATTGGTTGTCGCTTGGAGGATATAATGAGAGCGGCTGGTCTTCGGATTTTACATTCCATGATTTCTACTTTAGACCTATTCAACACTTCACAGGAGACATAATTTCACAGCTTTGAACTAGCATAATAGGAGCCTTCGTGTCTTAATAAAATTTACAGATTTTACTAGTAACCTGACGTAAAGTCATGATTTTATTAATGACACGGAGGCGAGTATTATCCCTCCCTCCCATCCCTGGAGGTTTGGTCTTCTCTGGGTAAGTTGACTTCACGGTAAGTCTTTTTTGATTACTGGGTTTTATCCTTGTTAATGACTGTCAAGAGCTTAAGGTTTGACTAAACTGAATTTCATGTTATGTAAAGATATCTGATATTCCATGTAATGTGAATTTATGCATAAATCCAGTTTCATACTTAAATATTACCATATTTCTTTCTCTTCCAGCTTAACTTCGAGATCTAGTTTAAGGCTCGTATTCCCTCTAATTGGAGCCCACTTTTTCTTTGGATTTGTTGACCTTGTTCGGGATCGCAAGAAAGAGGAAGTAGTATACTGGACACCGCCTATTATACTATAAAGAGGATGCTGATTGGCTGATCCTGGTGCTAGGAAGATATACCTCATGTTATTTACTGGTTTCTTTTATACTGATTTAATGTTATTTTTCTTTGCTGCTGAGGTAAAGAAAGAAAGAGTGCAGCATAATACTCGCCTCCGTGTCATTAATAAAATCATGACTTTACGTCATGTTAATAGTAATCTGTAAATTTACTTGTGTTCCTTCCTTGTACCATTTATGATAGGTACTAAGCACTGCATAATAGTAACACCACACAAAACTTGCCCTTTCCTGGCTAATCATGGCAGCATCACTTATGGGTAGCTCCTCCCTTAGCAGTCACAGGACAGGAATTAATTAGATTAATTAATCAGACTGATAGGTATAAGGAGTCCCTCCTCCCCCTACACCTCAGTCTTTTTTCCTGTCCTTAGTAAGTTCTACAGGACTTTTTACATTTTGTTTTATGGCCACCTTCCTGCGTTTGTCGTGGGTTCGTTCCAAATGAAGTTCAGCCTCTCTTCATTTGAAGGACCCAGTAAACAGCCTGCATGAGCAGGACTAACTGGGTCAGGTTCAGTGTAAGTACTGAACTGCAGCGTGGGAAGTAAGTGTTTGAGGGAGACACTGTTTCTGTTTATTTGTGGGGTTGGTTAGCCTTAAAAATTCCCCCTGTTTTCAGCCTGCCCCTACTAATTGGGGTTATATATCCCCCCCCATACCTTGTTGGCAGTATTTGAATCCATGCTTAGGGGTCTTGTCCTTTAGGATCTGTTTCTTGCCTCTTGTTTGGTGCCTTCCCTGCTCCCTGGCTCTGTTCCAGCCTCTGATGGGTTAATGTGAGGCTGTGCAGGCTTCCCTGCTCCCTGGGGCTCCCTGTGTGCCCGGGCATTGGGGGCTGGAACGCATTATGCGTTCCAGCCGACTGTTTGTTGCTCGCAGCCGGTTCCGGCGAAACCGGAAGTAATTTGCATGCCGGTCGCGAGCGTTTGGAACGCATAGCATGCGTTCCAGCGCTCTGCGCATGCGCGAACCGGGCAATCAGCTGTTCGCTGCCCAGACCTTTTTTAAAGCCTCTAATACAGCTGCCTTGGCGCTATACCTGCTAGCCTTATGTTGGTTTACCCCTGGGAAAGCATTGGTGTCCAGTTTGTGCCCAGCTACTCCTATCTGCTGCCTGGCTGCATAGTGGATGTTCTGCTCTTTAAGGTAGGATTGCTGTTTTTACTACTTATTGGAAGTATTGCTTTGTCAGTTTGTCTATTTATCCCTTTGGGGAATTAGGTCTTGGATTTTCCTTT